CTTTAGAAGATTTCCAGAAGGGGGTCCATTTGAGTCCAGGTTTCTCAATGCAATACAGCTGTATCCCATGAAGTAGCTATTGGATAAAAAGGATTTTAATGCTCAACACTTATAACTGCAGCCTTGTGGAGGAACGTTTTACTCAAGCACACCTCGTTGGGATTCTGAAATGCTTCTGCCTCTGAACTGTAACATATAAAGTTGTCACATCAGCCATGAAGAGAGTTTAATTGACTGAAAAGAAGTTAAGACTAAAACATATACACATTTGCTAAAAAAAAAAAAATAATAATAATAATTAATCTGGTATTTTCCAGTTAAAAATATGCTTTTACAATTTAATTTAAAATCTCTAGAGAAGTTAATTCAGTTAATGTAGGTAATTTTTAAAGCTCTTTCTCAGTGGAGCCAATTTTAATTTTGGGATTAAATGAACAGCTAATAGAGACATTCAGATTTTTTCCTCTCATACATTTGATGTTTGCTTAAAGATTTTTTTTCTTAACAATCACCCCTTCAAAATAGCACTGTCTTCAGTGAGTATTTAAAATATATGCAGCTTATTAAAAACTTAAAATAAGCCCCAGGTTATTACATTTGCATCCATTAACAACCTTACTTTGAGAAATGGTTTCGCTAAAAGAACATGTTTTAATCGGCTGGTACTACTTGCTTGAATAAAGACTAGAGGAGTTGAATTTTTTTTTTTTAATTTAAAAGTTATGCAGTCATCAGCAGCTATTGAGGACATACTTGGTAGTAACAAGACTACTACATCCTGATGCATTTTTTTTGATATCACCAGTGCCTGTATGTGCCATGTAACACAATAATTCTTCAGTAGAAAAAATAATGAAATGAAAATGATGTAAGATAGTGTGGGGGAAAGCAGAAAACTTTTCTGTAGATGTTGACTCCTTGCAAAAATCACCCTGAAATATTCTCTTAGAGTTAAAAAAAGTTAACAGGCCTTTTAGGCCTGCAATAAAGCTTTATTTAAAAGTTTTCTAGACAGTAGTTTATATATGATTAAATGACCTATAATGTCAGGTGAATGAATAATTGATCTATTCTGGAATGACCTGAGAGATTTCTTGTTTTTGAGCCTGATCAGTCTGGTACCCACACCATCCATTTACCACTTCTAATGTTCAGCAGCCTGTTCTATAACTCTGCCAGGTTCAGTTCTGCAGCTACAATTCAATCAAAAAGTCATGTCAGGGCTCAGAGTTGTATTAGCTGAAATTAGGAATACTGGTCATTTATTACACTTGGAGTCATATTTATCTTCTGGGCCTCAGCTTTTCACTGAAGACAAATTCTCAAGGTTTTTATACCAACTAAAGAAAAAATTATTTTTATTTTATTTTTTTTAATGGAAACTTAGTGCATCCTGGTTTTCATCCACCTTCCAGGTCTTTACAAATGGTCACATATTTCACAAGAGTTATGGCCCAAATCACAAGAGCTGTCAGCACTGACATTTACCCATCAACATTACAGGGTGCACAACTGCAAAGATACGTATGAAATCATTAGAGCATAGAAGAATGGTTCAGATATATTTTTTTCCTACCTTTTTGGGTTAGATCCGGTGAAAGATTTAAAGATGCCAAAACCTAACTTCTAGACTGACTTCCAGAACAAAATTCAGAGTCAGATACCCGAGTTCCTTCCATAACTGAAGTCACTCAGTGGGAAGAAGACTCCTGAGCAGCAGTGAGAACCCTGCTCTCCCCATTCCACTGCATCCTGCCTCTTCACACATAAATCCTTGTGAGGCTGCTGAGCCACACCCTCCTGGTTTCACCAGGAGACTTCAAACTGCCCCATGGCTACCATGCTTTGCTACAGCAGAGGGCATATGAACCTGAAGTCATTTAGTTGGAAGAGAGCATCCCATGCATGTCTCTGACTCCTGGGTGAGTGCTACAGGTAGAAGATGTGCATTAGAAATACTTTACATATAATTACTGCTATGGAGGGACACAGTTTTAGCAGTGAGCAAGGCAGGCTCATTCCAATGGATTTTGCATGTTCTTCCACTTACTTTTGGAATCTAATAAAGTTTGGGTAGGAAGGCAGCATTGCAGACTGAGTAGAAGAAAATCTCCAAAGACATTTAGAAACCCTCAAGGTTAAGCAGCAGGTAGGATGTTTGGATAAAAGGCACCAAGAACTCGGTACAGTTAGCCAGCTGTAAAGGGTGTCTAGGAATGTTTGTCCTGTGCAAGGGAGGTGCAAGTGGGAGATCACCACTGACCATATGGGGGATATTCACTTCTCTGCATGTACACTGTAGCATCTTACATGGAAAGAGGTGGCAAAGTTTTAGTAACTGAAATAAGCCTATATAATAACCAAATCCCACATTAGTAAGAGCAAACTTTTACCTTGCTTTTGTATTTTGGCACACTGATAACATACTGTCAGTAGCAGTAAATACCAATTAGTTAGAGGTGACAATCACAAGTTCACCTATATATTCTACTACATTAATGAAATCCTATGGAAACCGTTCCATACCAAAGCACAGACCTAGTTCTGCAGCTGCACATTGTGAAGCCTTTGGGAAGTGGGAATAGAATAAAGTTAGATGTGGCTGCCTCCAATTTCACTCTTTTTAAGGTCAATCAGACCTTACACTAGTTTACAGCTGTATGGACAGAGAAATCTGTTCATAAGTCCTTCTAAGAAAATCCACTAGTTTTAGTGAAAGCCCACCCAATGAGATTTGTAAGCAAAATAAGCATCTAAACAATGACATGACTAAGTGTTTACCACAGCAGGCTGTTTGTTTTGGACACAGGCTAGAGAAGGCTTTTGCCAGTTTCTGTTTAGCTTGGCAAACCCCATGGCAAGTGTAGTCACAGCAAATATATTCCCAAGCCAGATGACACACACAGTGCCAGAGCTGATACAAAATGGGCTGTGGAAGACTAGGGTGTAATAAAACAAGTTGAAATAGTCAGTGACAATGATAGCTTTGCGTACTATTGCCCTCAAAGTATCAAAAGGATCTCACATTTCTTTCAAAGATATGTATTAGTGATGTAGTGAAGTCAAAGATGAAATTATATCCAAATTTATACATAGAAAATTGGAAATTTTTTATGTCACAAAGACTGATATTGCATACATTTGCTACAACAGACTCTCAGAGAAATCAAATGCAATCATAAAACAGAAAGCAAGACATTATTTTTTAACGACTGCACTATGTAAGTGGGAAGAAGGAGATGATATCAACCTGCCAGCTGGAAATCAATAGGAACTTGGCCAACTAGCCTAAGGATTTTTTTTCTGTTTTCCTCAAGGGGATCAGTATACTAAAATAATAATTTAATCCTATGTGCTTCAGTAATACTGGACATTTAAATCCTGGGCATTGTAAAGCCAACCTTTCATGCACATTCTGACTTCCAAACTATAGCATGTAATCTTTATCCGGTCAGTCATACCTTCTGTCATGTGCAATTGTCACTGATCAATTCAGGTACTTATGACTAAAGTGGATTTGTTTTACTTAACAAACTTTCTTTTTTGTAGTTTTAAGAAGTCACAAATCCAGTTCCTCGGGCCACAGGAGATTAAGAAGCATGTATGTATATGGCTCATAAAAACAGTAAAAACTGGAAAACCATTGTATATTTCTGCCATGTGCTGACTCCGTGCTGTACATATTTGGACTTTACATATTCACATATCCTTTCTGATACTTGAATCTAATAGGGCCATTAGCTGTCTGTTGTCTTTTTATTGTCATCATCTTATCAATCTCAAATTGCAAGTGACAGTGAGTGTATCTTAGCTTACCACACCAAAGGTCCTTGCTGCAGTGGGTCAAACCAAATTCAAGGCTGCAAAGTATCAAAAAAGTTTATAAAACTCAAAGTAAAGCAAATTCCTCTTCCTTACTGTCTTCACACCTTTGCTGTGAAAGACAATCCTCAGCCAGCCAGGTTCTCCAAGCACACACACACATTTAGTGACTGCATGTTTTCCCTATTTTCCTACCACAGCTGAGGTAGCTCAGAAGCCTGACCAGACTGAAGAGGTAGACATACAATTTTACCATTTTTAAACTGTCAAACTGTTTGCAAAATTGTAAAATTATTTATAAAAACTTCATCTATTTGATATATAACAAACAAGCACAGATACCATCCTTTGTTTTTCAGAAAAGGAAGCAGCAGATTTGTTACCTGCAAGGTGCACCAAGTCCCACAGTACAGGCATGGCAGAGTGAGCTGAGACACAGGACAGTTCTTGTTTCCCAGCTTGGGGCCATGCTTAGGGACTTAGCACATGCTGCCTTTCATGCTGCTTTACCCTTCTGTCCAGCTGACCACACGCCATCAAACACGAGAGGCAAACATGTAAGGTCTTACCAAGATCACTCTAAGGTTTTGCAGAGGTTACAGTCTAACCCATTTCTCTAAATTACAGTCAAACAAGTATAAAGTTTCACCTGAAACACCATTCCCCATTGTCTATTATACAGGTGTAATACAACTTGAGCTCAAACAGCCTCCCAGAATCTGAGAATAGGATTTGTGAATAGTTGAGACACCCTCAGTGCGGCTTTCGGGGGTCACTTGCAGCTGTCCCCCGTCCCTCCCCGGCCCCCGGGGCCCCTCCGGCTAGCTGTTCCCTCAGGGGACCGGGGTTTGCCGCGGTCCCGCTGCACTGGGCTTACCAGACAGCGGCTGGGTTAGCACGGTTCGAGCGGCTGTGCGCCTCGGTCGCCGCAAGGAGTCGAGATAAAGAGACAAAGAGAGGTCAGTTGTATGCAGTCCAGAAAGATTGTATTGCCTGAACAGTTGCAGGGACAAAAGACCCTGGGCTACTGCCCAGATACAGTTTTATACAGCAAAATTAAGAGATAAGGTCTAAACAATAAAGACAGTGTTCAGCATGGGCTCATCAGAACCACCCCAGGGGTCAGGTCCAATGGGAACTGCTCAGGGGTGGGGAGAAGGGGGCTTACAGAAAGGTGCTGAAGCGAAACTTTCCCGAAACAATGGGGCATACATAAATGTATCTTTCCCTCATACCTAAATGTATCTTTTCCTCAGCTTCCAATTCCCAAGGCCTTTCTAAATCCCTTCCTCCACGATACCACGCTAGCGTGATAGCAACATCTCCCTCTTTTTTACTTAATAAGATGAACGGTGCCTTGGGAGAAGGTAAAACTGCGGCTTTTAAACTGCGGTGTCTTTTTGCTTGTCGTCTTCCCACCAATCGCTCTCCGTGACGGCAGCAGCGATGAGAACAGGTGCGGAAGCCTTAGGCTTCGAGGTGATGACCTTGGAGATTATTCGCTTAAGAATCCCAAATGTTAACAAAACTAAAAACAGTGCAGCTAGAAAGTAAAAGATGTCTTTTAAAAGAGACACTGCCCACCCAGAAAGGTCCCAGTCTTTGAACAGATTTTTAAACCAATCCTCATTTTCTTGCTTCACACTCCCAATGAGGCTTCTCATTTCCTGAATGGACGAGTGGACACTCTGGCCTTTAGATGACAGATCAAAACAACACAGCCCATCAAACTCTTTACATCCATGACCATGTGCCAACAGCAGGAAATCAATAGCTGCCCGATTTTGGAGGGTAGCCTTTCTGGTTATTTCCTCGTCTTCTAGGAGGTCACTCAGGGCTGCTGATGTTAAATTTGCCTGCTTCGTCACCCAGCATTCCAGATTGCCTAGTTCACTCAATGCTTTTGCTGCCGCAACCCATGGTAAAAACACAGAGACAGCAACTCTTTTGGATTTTGCCCAATGGTAAATTTCTGCATCACAATGTTCATCAAATTGACTTGCACTTCGCTTAGCAATTTTTTTCTCACCTTTTGCTCGCCCGATTGGAATTTGGGTCATGTTGGGGGAAGCAAGGGTCAGATGCCCGAAAGTGCATGGACCTCCAATAAGACGAGAGGGGATTCCAGGGTGTGGAATTGTGTTATTATATGTTCTATTATGTATAAGGTCATTCCATGTATCCCCCCCGCACTCTGTAAGTGACCCCCCGGGTTCTCCCATTTCCCCCCGCGGTCTGCCTTCCCGAGGAAGTGCTTAGTCACTTTGTTTACGTCTCTCAGACCATCTGTCAGGCATGCGGCGGGGTCGAGAGACGACCGGGCACCCTTCCATCTGTCCATCTCCCATTGGACCCCTGCACCCCACTATCCCCAAGTCCCCCCGTGGCGTTATCTCATTGGCCACCCCGGGTTTCCCCTATCCCGTACTTATAGAACGGGTTTGGGGACGCCCCGGTGCTTTTTCTCCCGCCTGGCCCCGACTGCCGCTGCTGCCCGGCCCGCCGCCTCCTCTCCCGCCGGATCCCTGCGTGCTGCCGCGGCTCTCTCTCTCGCCCGGCCCCTGCCGCAACCGCCGCCGCTGCCCCAGGTGATCGCGGCCGCCCCGGGCTGCCCCGCGATCGCCGCCTCAGCCGAACCGCTGCCGCCGCCGCTGCCGCGGTCGCCGCGGCTCCTGCACGTGCCGGCAGCAGCGCCGCGGCTCTGCTCACAGCGTCTCTTGGATCGCGGCCAGCGCCGGAGCGCGCCGCCCCGCCCCCGGATCGGCCAGGCGGCACGGACAAACTCGAACTTAGCACGCAGCAGCTTCTCGGTTTTTTCCTCCCCAACCAAGCCATAATAAACCGAGATATCGCCCGCGGGGGAAAAAGTCTCTCTCCTTTGTTCGCCTCGGGACTCGCCTAAGCTCCCAGACCCACGCAGCACCGGCCGACACCCGCGAGGGTTCGCCGGAAAACACGGAAGTTGCCAGCGCTCCCCCCCCTCACAGAGCTAGCTGGGACGAAAAGGGGGACAAGAGAGAGCGCTAAGGCAGTTGTGGCGACCAACGCGTTGCTTGGGAGCTCCAAGCACACGGACTGAGGACCACCGAGCCCCGAAAAGCTCGTTGATTTACCTCGTGGACGTTACAACACCCTCGCAAGCCGTGGTTCCGTTTTAAGGAGCCAGGGCTTCCAGAGGGGTGGGGCCGGCACCTTTGGCTCGCACCGCCGAAGCTCGGCCCCCCCACGGCGAAAACTTCGCAGCTGGACTTTTCGTTTCGCCTTCGGACGTCGCCGGACCCGTGGTGAGTTACCGGGGTCCCCCTGGGCTGGGTACGCCTTGCTCCCTTTGGGGTGAGTTTCTCTTTCCCCCACAAGAGGGCGTAAGAGCCCACATTTTGTCTCCCGCTTCAGGGATTTTGTAAGGGAGGGCTTCCCAGTCTCCGACAGGCGTCTTTTTTTTTTCTTTTGATATTTTACCAGCCGCGAGGGTTGTGACACGCCTTAACATCGACATAATGGGTGCAAAAATGTCTGTGTCACAGGAGAGAATTTATGTTCAAACCCTAGGAATTTTAGTGGGGGGAGGGAAGAAATGTAAAAAATCAGACGTGAAGCGTTTTGCACGGTGGCTTCTGCAGTCTTTCCAGGACCTGTCGCAGGAAAATTTGTACCAAGTCCAATTCTGGGACCGAGTGGAAAAAGAAATTGCCCAAAAGGAGGATCAGTCCCTCTCAATTTTTATCCACTTCGCAATTCAATTGAAAAATATTGTTAAAGATAACTGCAAAGGGAAGCCAGAGCCACCGCAGGGTGAACGCTGCCTCCCAAGCCCCCCAAATCCCCCAAAAACCCTCTCCTATCCCTCTCTCCCTAGCCCGGGGATTCTCAGACAGGCATCCCGGCAAAACGAGCCGCAGGCAGATTCTGGCCTCTCTGTTAACCCCCAGGCTCCATCGCAGGACGATGCTGGCATCGCCCTGCACCCTTCCCCTCCCCAAACCTCCTCTCGTTACAAAGTTGTGAGTTTTAAAACCCCAGATCCCTGCCCCAGGGCACAAGATGGAGGCGACCACATGGCATACCCCTCCCCCTCCCTGCGTTCTTTGTCTCCTAACGACCCCCTCCGCCCTACAGCCAACCCCTCCCACTCCCGAGACTTCTCCACCCACCCCTCCCCTCCACCCCCTTCTGGCACCTCCCCTAATGAATCATTCAGCAGTCCTCCCTCCGACCCCGCCCCTCGGGGTGAGGTAACACCAGCCACACCCCCTAGCCCTGGTCCTGCCTCCGCCCTCGGTTCCCACGACCCGCCCTCTGGTTCCCACGCCTCGGTTCCCGAGGGAGGGGGGGGGCGGAGGAGGAGGGAGGGGGGGAAGGGGGAAGCCGCGACCTGCCGCAACCCCTGCTTGCCTTTTCTGCCGCACCAGTCACCTACACCCCGCGGCAGAGGGGCAGACCCTTGGCACAGTGGACCCCTATCCCACAGGCTGTGATTAGAGATGTTTGCAAAGCCCAAAAAGACTTTGGTCGGGAAAGTGAATACTTTAGGGGACTTTTAAAAGTCACACTTTCCTCCAATGAGTACGTCCCTGCTGACATCCGCGCTCTGTTTTTGTGCTTGCTTAGTCAGGCTGAGTTTTTGGTATGGGAATCCGCATGGAGGCGGGAGGTACGGGATGCATTACCGCAACTTTGGGCAAAAGCCGAGACCTCCTCTGACACCGATGGAGGCATGTTAACCATTGACCACCTGTGCGGGATAGGGGATTGGGACGTGGCAACAACACAGGCTGAAAAGATTCCAAGGGGGGCATTGGCAGCAACTGCCAATGCAGCAGAAAAAGCATTTTTTAAGCTAAAACCCCGTGGTCCTGTTGTTAACTGTTTTTCTATTAAGCAGGAGACACAGGAATCTTTCGTTAACTTCGTAGACAGGTTGTACAGGGCAGCTGAATCGCAGGTGCCAGAGGACGGATTGAGGCAGGGCATGGTGAAACAGATCGCCCTGCAGAACGCCAATGAGGCCTGCAGACAGGCGATGCTGAGCCTGCCCCTCGACCCAGAGCCAACGCTCCAGGACATGCTGGACGTGTGCGCTCGAAGGGTCACCCTGCCTTCAAAAGACCCTCCGGGGACACCCCAAACGCCATCACGGAGAGTCTCCTTTGCCGAAGCCCACACGCCATCCACGGCTCCGGCTCCTGCACGCCGCTTCACTGGGCCCCCACCCAAAGGCTACCATCCAGGACGGCCCTGCAACCTGTGCAACAAGAAAGGACACTGGGCATCTCACTGCCCCCTCAAAGAGGACTTCTTGCGCTTTAAAAAACAGCAGCAAGGGCAAGGTGCCTCCAACTCAGGGGAACATTCAAAAAACTGATTTCCCAGCGCAGTCCCTCCCTGCGTGAGGACAAAAATTTGGTGGGAAACATAACATCAGGGGGCAGGAGGGACAACACAGTAGCATACCCACCTGAGGATAATACCAAACATGACATTTCTGGAGTGCACAATAGGGGAACAAGAGCTGGTGAACCAGCCTGCGTGGGAGGAGTTGGGAATTTCATCTCACAGGCATGGCTTGGTCGGGACCCCGACCATCCCAGGCCCATCCTTAACACCCAGTCCAACTCCTCTCCATACAGGTTGGCCCTAACCGAACCCCTACTGCTCAGGGACAGCAATTGGCACTTTGTCACAGTGGACACACAGGACCCAGGGACCTGGAGAAAACTCCACAGTAAGTACATCGTCCTTGGGGACACAAAATACACGCCACTCGACATCACTATCGCACCCAATTTGACACCTGCAAACCCTAAACATCTGGTGCTGTGGCTGCACTGTGCTCACCCGCCAGTCTACCTTCCCAAAGGGCAGATCATTGCCCAGGCCATACCTGTATCTGGGGCCCCTGTCTACCCAGAAGACCTGTGGAAGAAATCCGCAAAGCAGATCTACGAGGTGTGTCAGGCCCAGGTAATTGGGAAGGATAGACCCAAAATTGAGTGTTACATGTGGAATGGCGGTGAGCACAGGTGGCTTAACGGCCTCTTGGACACAGGGGCGGACGTCACAGTCATTCCCTCACGGGATTGGCCGTCGCGTTGGGAGTTGCAGGACGTGGCTGGACACATTCAAGGTGTCGGAGGGGCACAATTGGCAAAACAGTCAAAAAACATTATCAAATTTGAGGGGCCAAACAGACAGACAGCTTACCTGCGTCCGTTTGTTCTGGATTACACGGAGCCCCTGTGGGGAAGGGACCTGATGGCCCAGTGGGGGGTCTCATTGACCATTCCTACCCCCCAGGTTTTTCGGGCAGCGGTCACTGAGGAGCGTCCTACCCAAAAGTTAAATTGGCTCTCTGATGTTCCAATCTGGGTAGAGCAGTGGCCGCTCAATAAACAAAAATTAAAAGCGCTCCAAGAACTCGTGGCAGAACAACTTGCCAAGGGACATATCCAAGAAACAACATCTCCTTGGAATTCCCCCGTCTTTGTCCTGAAAAAACCAGGCAAAGACGAATGGCGGTTGCTCCACGACCTCCGTGCCATCAACAATGTGATCGAAAATATGGGTCCACTCCAACCAGGGATGCCGTCCCCCACAATGTTACCCAAAGATTGGGAATTGGCTGTGATTGACATCAAAAATTGCTTCTTTCATATCCCCCTCCACCCAGACGATGCACCACGTTTTGCCTTCTCGGTTCCGTCCCTTAACCGAGAAGCCCCAATGAAGCGGTACCATTGGCGAGTATTGCCACAGGGCCTCAAATGCTCGCCCACCATCTGCCAGCGGTACGTAGCTTCATTGCTGACCCCAGTCCGTACAGCCACCGAGGGCGTGATCATCCAACATTATATGGATGACATCTTGATTTGTGCTCCCAATGACGATCTCCTTACACACGCGCTTAACCTGACAACCGATGCGTTGGTTGCTGCAGGGTTCGAGCTGCGAGAAGATAAGATTCAAAAGATGCCACCCTGGAAGTACCTGGGCTTGGAAATTACCAAGCGGACTATTACTCCGCAAAAATTGGCCATCAAAAACAAAATTCGGACCCTAGCAGACGTCCAGCAGCTGTGCGGTTCTTTGAACTGGGTGAGGCCATGGCTAGGCATTACAAACAGAGACCTAGCCCCTCTTTTCGATTTATTGAAAGGGGGGGAGGAGCCGAGTTCTCCCAGGGAACTCACCCCAGAGGCCCAAGCAGCTTTGATTAAGGTCCAGGAGACAATGTCTGCCAGACAGGCCCACCGGTATGATCCGGACCTGCCTTTTAAATTCATCATATTGGGCAGACTGCCACACCTCCATGGTGTGATATTTCAATGGACAGACACCCCAAGGAAGGGCAAGGACCAAGACCGAAGGGACCCACTCTCCATCATAGAATGGGTCTTCCTAAGTCACCATCGGTCCAAGAGAATGACAAGGCCACAGGAGTTAGTAGCGGAACTGATCCGCAAAGCGAGAGCTCGGATCAGAGAGTTAGCTGGATGTGACTTCGAATGCATTCACATTCCCATCAAATTGGAATCAGGCCAATTCACCAAGGCCATGCTAGAACATCTGTTACAGGAAAATGAATCCCTGCAGTTCTCTCTAGACAGCTACACAGGCAAAATTTCAGTTTTGAGACCAGCCCACAAAATTTTTGAATCAGAAATTCAATTCGCATTGTCCATCAAACAAATTCAGAGCAAAAAGCCACTCAAAGCCTTGACAGTTTTTACAGACGCGTCCGGGAGTTCCCACAAGTCTGTAATAACTTGGAAAGACCCCCAGACGCAGCAGTGGGAGACAGACATTGTGGAGGTGGAAGGCTCCCCTCAAATAGCTGAGTTGGCTGCCGTTGTCAGGGCCTTTGAGCGATTCTCTGAACCTTTTAATTTGGTAACTGATTCAGCATATGTAGCTGGTGTAGTGTCTAGAGCGCAGGATGCTGTCCTGCAGGGTGTGTCCAACGAAGCCCTGCACAAGTTGCTCTCGAAACTGATTAAGCTAGTCTCCCACCGAGAGCAACCCTTTTATGTGATGCATATCAGGTCACATACCAACTTGCCAGGGTTTTTGGCTGAGGGCAATCGGCGTGCCGATTCTCTCGCTGCCGCCCCGGCTCAGGTAGCTCCGCTCCCAGATAAGTTCCAGCAGGCTAAGATCAGCCACCAGTTTTACCACCAGAATGCTCCCGGGCTGGTCCGGCAGTTCCACCTCACCCGTGACCAAGCCAGAGCCATTGTGGCCACCTGCCCGTCCTGCAAGTCGCTCCCCCTACCATTGGTGAGCTCAGGGGCAAACCCTAGGGGTCTGAGGTCCTGCGAGGTATGGCAGATGGATGTTACTCACATCCATTCCTTTGGGAGGATGAAGTACGTCCATGTCTCCGTGGACACTTTCTCTGGGGCAGTCTTTGCTTCTGCCCACGCAGGGGAGAAGGCCAAAGACATTGAAAAGCATCTGATACAGGCCTTCGCTATGCTGGGCGTCCCTAAATTGATAAAAACAGATAATGCCCCCGGGTACACATCCAAGGGATTTGCCAGCTTCCTGCAGCAATGGGGAATAGAGCACAAAACTGGCATCGCATATTCCCCGACAGGTCAAGCAGTGGTGGAACGGACTCATCAGAGTCTCAAACGCATGCTGAAACAGCAAACACCAACTATGAAGGTGGAGTCCCCCCAAGTTCGGCTCGCGCGTGCCCTCTTTACACTGAATTTCCTAAATTGTTCTTTTGAAAATCTCAACCCACCAGTCACCAGGCACTTTAACAACCACGAGCTGAGCAAGGATAGGGAAAAACCACCAGTGATCATCAAAAATCCAGAGACTTGGCAGCTGGAAGGGCCCCATGAGTTAGTTACCTGGGGACGGGGATACGCTTGCGTGTCCACGCCCTCAGGACTGAGATGGGTCCCGTCCAAATTTGTCCGGCCATATGTCCCCAAACACCAGACGGATAAGAAAAAGGATCCTCAGGTGAAGCATGCAGCCCTCCGCCGACGGAGAAAGTCTCCCCCCTTCCTTTTTGACTCAGCACCTTCTCTTTCAGAGCCTTCCCTTACACCATACAGTTCCTTGGACTCACCTTTCCCTTTTGATTTAAACCTCCCCTCCCCAGAATGCTGAATTATGTTGCTGTTAACATTCATTGTACTTATTATGAGTTTTAGTAATGTTTAAAGGTTTAAAGGTCATCAATTCCACCGCGCACATCGACCACGCAGTCTTCACCGCCCCATCAGAGCTGACATCCGCTCAACACAGACAGCCAGAGAAGAACCGAGCAGACATTGGGTTCAACGATGGGGAAAAGGACTGTAAAACCTCCCATTTAAGTTATTTTCCGTTCTTTTCTTTTGAAAAACAGAAGAGGGAGTTGTGGAATTGTGTTATTATATGTTCTATTATGTATAAGGTCATTCCATGTATCCCCCCCGCACTCTGTAAGTGACCCCCCGGGTTCTCCCATTTCCCCCCGCGGTCTGCCTTCCCGAGGAAGTGCTTAGTCACTTTGTTTACGTCTCTCAGACCATCTGTCAGGCATGCGGCGGGGTCGAGAGACGACCGGGCACCCTTCCATCTGTCCATCTCCCATTGGACCCCTGCACCCCACTATCCCCAAGTCCCCCCGTGGCGTTATCTCATTGGCCACCCCGGGTTTCCCCTATCCCGTACTTATAGAACGGGTTTGGGGACGCCCCGGTGCTTTTTCTCCCGCCTGGCCCCGACTGCCGCTGCTGCCCGGCCCGCCGCCTCCTCTCCCGCCGGATCCCTGCGTGCTGCCGCGGCTCTCTCTCTCGCCCGGCCCCTGCCGCAACCGCCGCCGCTGCCCCAGGTGATCGCGGCCGCCCCGGGCTGCCCCGCGATCGCCGCCTCAGCCGAACCGCTGCCGCCGCCGCTGCCGCGGTCGCCGCGGCTCCTGCACGTGCCGGCAGCAGCGCCGCGGCTCTGCTCACAGCGTCTCTTGGATCGCGGCCAGCGCCGGAGCGCGCCGCCCCGCCCCCGGATCGGCCAGGCGGCACGGACAAACTCGAACTTAGCACGCAGCAGCTTCTCGGTTTTTTCCTCCCCAACCAAGCCATAATAAACCGAGATATCGCCCGCGGGGGAAAAAGTCTCTCTCCTTTGTTCGCCTCGGGACTCGCCTAAGCTCCCAGACCCACGCAGCACCGGCCGACACCCGCGAGGGTTCGCCGGAAAACACGGAAGTTGCCAGCGCTCCCCCCCCCTCACAGAGCTAGCTGGGACGAAAAGGGGGACAAGAGAGAGCGCTAAGGCACCAGGGTATGCTCTGTCCCCACAGATAAGAAACATTCCCTTGTCCAGCTTGCGGGGACGGAAATCAGTGGTGGATGCAGATTTCAGCTTATAGACAGCTGTGCACCATTGACCCGCCCTGAATTCCACCTTGTACTGTTTGACTTGCTCATATAATTTTACTTCTTTGGTTGGGGAAAAATCAAATTGAATGCAATATTCAGCTTTTGCAGAGCCCAGGAGTTCTAATTCCTGGGGTTCTCCCTCAGCAGAGGGCAAGTCTAGGATCCACTTTTGCCACAAAATGAGGGGGTTTTGCACTGGTATTTTCCCTACTCCAGGTATTTTATTTTCGTTCACCTGTTTTTGCAAGCGGACCAGACCGATTGGGAATTCATCCCCCTTACTTGGAACCCCTACTAAACATGTGGACATCGGATTTTCTGCTGAGGCAGTAGACAAACACATGTGATCTTGTTTCAAGGCTTGGGCGAGTGTGACCCACACATTTTTCTTGGGCTGTGGAACAATCCACGCGTCCACCGTGCACGGGTAGATGGCCATTGTCTGGAACCAAACGATGAGCAGGAATGTGGAAATTGACATTCTGCTAGTCTGAAAGAAAGATAAAATCATATAACAAGGTAAACTAACTCTGAAAAAGGTACAATTTGCTCTGCCAGGATAAAGGAAAAAGATTCCCCCTGCTCCTACTTTCCCCCTTTGCGAAGGAGGAGGCCCTGCAGACCCCGGAGTCCTCGGGGTTGCTGCTGCTGAAGCAACCACCCTTTCCCGCGGACTTATCACTGAGTCCTCTGTCATTAGTGTAGCTTTTCTCGTGCACTCCTCAATGAGCTGATCGAGTGTGGGTGGAGGCGATGCTGGAAGGGCCAGGATGACTCGCTGACAGGCTTCATTTGCATTTGTGGTGACAATTTCTAGTGTGAGCTGATCTTGGAGCTCTGGATTCTGCACCCTTTTCTCGACTGAAGCTCTCACTCGATCCACAAAATCCATGAATGGCTCTGCAACAGACTGCTTCAAATCGATATAAGAAATGACAGGTTCTTTAGAAGGCATGTTAAAAAATGCACGTTCTGCCGCATCCCTGGACAGGTCTAACACTGGTCTGGGAATGCCTGCTGCTTGCTTCTCAGCTTGGCTCCAATCACCCTCACCCACTAGATGTTCTAAGGTGATTTCCTCATCCTCTATATCTGTGGAATGGGTTGAACTCTGCAAAATCTCTGGAAGGAGGTCTCCTGCAAGCCTTTTCCAAGTTCTTTCCCACAATCTAAATTCAGATTGAGGGAGCAAACAGCTGAAAAGACGTTTCAAATCAGCAGGGACAAAAGTTTTGGAACTTAGAGTAGCTTTTAAAATGCTCTTAAAAAATTCACTCCTTTCTCCAAATTCACGTTTTGTTTTGCAGAGTTCCCTGATACTGTCGTATGAAAGGGGTTCCCATCTGGGATTTTGTCCTCTTGCATTATAAACAACTGGGGCCATGAACGGAGGATCGGTGCCTGTGACCAGTTTCTGTTTCCCGGAGCCGACAGCCCCGGAGCTGGCAGCCTCGGCTCTGCCGTTGCCGAGGGAACCAGGAGCGAGAGGGGGGGCGGCTTGTGTGGGAGTGGCCGCGGCTGGAGGGGCCGTGTGGAGCAGGGCAGAGGCGGGGGTAGGGGGTGGTGACGGAGTTGCGAGGGGAGGAGCTGAGGGCTGGACCGTGGGCTGAATCGCCGCAAGGGAGGAGGGATTGGGATTGGGGATGGGCAAAGGGAGGGACACGAGGGCTGGGGGTGTGTTCTGGGCTGGCACGGGGAGCAAGGAATTCTGGGAAGGAGAAGGGAATGTCCCGATGCCGCCTCCATCTTGTGGTGGCTGCACGAGGGGGTTGGGGGGTGCAAAGCAAGGATTTTGAGCTGCGGGAGCGGAATCAGGAGATGGAGAAGGGTCAGGAACTGAATCTACATCTGCGCGGTTAGTTTTTTCAAAGCCGGGGACGCGGGGGGTTGCAGGGGACGCGATGTGACCCTTTTCTCTTCCCCGGGCGTCCCGAGTGTCTGCACTCTCTTTCACAAAGTCATAAACGAACAAAAAGATTCTCATAAAACCTTCTTTCACTGAGGGATCTCCTGCCTTTGTCCTTTCACTCAACACTGCACCCACACGCTTCCAAAACCGTCTTTCATTCACATCTTGCTCTGTTACCTCCGAAAAACTTACAGATACCCATTTAACAAACTCTTTCACCAGACTCTCAGGAAGTTTTGCACCTGCTCTCTGCAGGGGTTCTTGAACTTGTTTATAAATCTCTTTCTGCTGTGTAGTCAGCGTAACACCCATCGCTGGCTGCACAGCAAAGTCTCACCCAGCTGCTACAGTAAAAACCCCAAAGTTCTAAAGACCCGGCGGAGCTCCCGACACGCCTGCGCGCTGACGTGTCCCCCCTTGGGCACACGGGAGCCTGACTCCAGTCTCCTGGCTGGACCCTTCCCGCCAGTACCGAGACTTACCCACCGCCGTTCTTCAGAAAACACACTGCAGCAACGGTTCCCGACTCCGCAAACAGTCTTCCGGGTGTTTGGAAGGTCCCGTCTGCATCCACGGGTACAGCGCCGGACAGAAATCGGTGCCTGTCCCCGCGGTGGCAGTCCTGCCGGGCTTGTGTGGAAGGGCGAGTGCCCCACCACCAGCGCGGTCCGAGAGCTTCTCCCCGCGGAGCTGACAGCCTGCGAGGCGGTTTTTTCGCACCGCTCGCCGCTCTGTCGCTCGCGGCGACACCGATCGCAGTGTCCGGAAAAGCTCCCAACCGGTGCACTGCCCGCGGCGGCCGTGGCGTGTTCGCTCAGACCGGTGCAATGCCCCACGGTGGTGCGCCACTTGCGGCTTTCGGGGGTCACTTGCAGCTGTCCCCCGTCCCTCCCCGGCCCCCGGGGCCCCTCCGGCTAGCTGTTCCCTCAGGGGACCGGGGTTTGCCGCGGTCCCGCTGCACTGGGCTTACCAGACAGCGGCTGGGTTAGCACGGTTCGAGCGGCTGTGCGCCTCGGTCGCCGCAAGGAGTCGAGATAAAGAGACAAAGAGAGGTCAGTTGTATGCAGTCCAGAAAGATTGTATTGCCTGAACAGTTGCAGGGACAAAAGACCCTGGGCTACTGCCCAGATACAGTTTTATACAGCAAAATTAAGAGATAAGGTCTAAACAATAAAGACAGTGTTCAGCATGGGCTCATCAGAACCACCCCAGGGGTCAGGTCCAATGGGAACTGCTCAGGGGTGGGGAGAAGGGGGCTTACAGAAAGGTGCTGAAGCGAAACTTTCCCGAAACAATGGGGCATACATAAATGTATCTTTCCCTCATACCTAAATGTATCTTTTCCTCAGCTTCCAATTCCCAAGGCCTTTCTAAATCCCTTCCTCCACGATACCACGCTAGCGTGATAGCAACACCTCAGCACCTCACAGAAACTAGAAGAGCCTTGTCCTTGAGTTTCTTCAAAAAAACAATTAAGTTTGGGAGAAGATTAACATTGATTTTTAAGAAATATTGGTATAATGTGGAAAGAGGAAAAAAACGGCAAAAAGCTAATTAGATATTAAGAAGGTTAAAAGGGATGACCTAAAGGGATAGACTGGTATTGATTGCTCACAAAATGTTGGAAGGCTGATAGGGTTGCCATTTGCCATGAGTATGGTAACATAATTAAGGTCATTCAGTAAGAATTATATAAAACAAGCTTTGTCACACAAATACCATTACTACAAGAAATTAGAAATTTAGGTGATAATTTAAATTATACTGACATAACAGGCTTTGACAAACTATTTTACATCATGGTGAAGGACCTTCTGTTTAAAAACAAGTATAGAGTTATAAGAAAAAACAAAAAAGATGAAAAAACTTCATACAAGTATCTAGTTCATCATCCCCTGGCAGATTCTTGAATATAAAATGGATTTCAACTAAAAATTGGGTTTATACATTTCTAAACAGAAGCATTTCAAATGATATTGCACAGAGTTTCTATTCTTGGCTCAACTATAATAAATACCTTTATTATTGAGCAGAATACAAAAGAATCACTGCAGCTAGTGTACAAATTCCAGCAGCATGCCCGAAGTGATAAGAATGGGTCAGTTCCACACAGAGGCTGTGGTGCTTGAACTGCTAGTTTCATTCAAAGAAAGAATACAGGTCAAACATCCAGATCTGGAAAAGCAGTATCCTGTAATTCAATACTTAGAGAAGAACTCTGGTTTAAGGGAAATAGCCAATGAAAAAAAAAGCTTCTAACATGACAGTGTGATTATGAGGGACAGCGTGATCTTCAGATGTATAAATAAGAACAAATCTGTAACAAGTAGGACAACTGTATACTGTCCTGCTGATATAAGCTAATTGGGATTTTTTTCCCCTGATATTCTTCATCAGAAAATTCAACATTCTCAGAGGGAGATGAAGTTTAACAAAGAAAAGAATTTTAGAAAAGAAGATGTTTTGATTTTCATGATACTCCTCTTGTGCTTTTAAATATACACGATTTGGTTTTAAATTTAATATTATTTTTGCATATTTGGTGACATCACATAATATTAAAAAAATAAAAATAAAACCTATGAAAAGGTTATCAAACTAATGAAATGTCTCAAGTTTGCTGAAAGATTACTTTTGAGCTTATAGAAATTGTCAACATCTTCTCTTTCTATTCTGTTTTGGGAGAAAGACTTTCTGAAAATCCATACCTTCTGTCAGCTGAGATTGTAATTCAGATACTGGAACCTGATTCCAATGTCAGTATTTAAGAATATAGAACACCGAGAAATGTTATAAACAAACCACAAGAATGTTCCAGAGTTGCATTTCTTAAAAATACAACTTGAAAACAAGGGTTGGATGCTTTCTTAGCTTATTAGACCAACAGAAACATAAAAAAACCTAACATGAAAATCACTATCCAAAGGAATTCTAATTAAAATTAGAGGAACATTTATTACCCATTGGAACAACTAATCTGGGATTACTGTAAGTCAGTAATTTTTTGCAGCCTCTCAATGACATACATTCCTAGAAGGGATGCTTGCAGCTCAGTGACAAACATAAGACTCAATACTGAATCTCTGCAGGCATGTCCTGCAGCTCACACTGTGCAGGAGGTTCTCACAGCTCCTGGGCTTCAACCTATGAGCACGGGAAAAGAAAAAAAGCAGCACTCAAGTCACTGCTGTGGTCAGGCAGCTGCCTTCTGTAACCAATATATGTTTGCAAGAATAATCATCACTTACCAAAGGGTATGACAGGGAGGAAAAGGGCCATGGTTGGCAGTGTCAGGCACTCACTGAAGACAAGAGATGATGTGCACAGGAGATACTGTGAAACAAGCACAGCCATACAACCTGCCATACTACAGGCAAAGCACCTAACATTTCCATTCAAGTGCTAAAAAGAAAAAAGAAGATTAGTAGATTTTTTTTTTTTAATGGTAATAGATTATAGGGAAACTTTTCTGAGCAGGACCTAATGGGAGAAATTATTTCAGTTCACAATTCAGTAATTATTAATTTCTCAAGGTTGAGATTGAAGGCATTTGAGACGGCATTTTATGTTCGGACTTAGGTGTTTATTATTTTTTATCTACTACTGTGAGTTTGGTAGCTTTTTCATTAGCAAGGCACAAAATGGCTAACTAAGTTTTGTTACAAGGTCTTTTAAAAGTAAAATACCTAATTAAGAAAGGACACTTAGATTATTTTCTTTTTTAACTCAATAATTGATCTTCCAAAGTCCGCAATGCGAACTTTTCTGTTTAATCACAAAACATCACCCAAACCCATGAAGAAGAAGGAAGAAGAAGGTAAAGAAGAGCAACTTGCTTCTGCCCTAAAACTTCTATCTTGCTTCATATTTATTTATATATTCTAAAATTTCAAACTCTAAGTTTTTCACTTTGTGATATTACAGACTTTTAACAAACTACACGCTCAATATCTTAGTGTTATTAGTCAATTTTAAAAGCTTGTTCTACAACCTCAGGTCAAATGCAGTGTTCTCTTGTGGGTCTATGCCTTTAAGCATAGAAAGTTTAAAATTCTCAGCATCCAGGATTCCAACAAGAAATGTCTCTGGGGGAGCAGAGAACAAGCTAAAACCTGAAGTACAGAGAACTAAAAAGGAAAGAGAATCAACGTACACCCTGCTCCAACACACTGAACACTTGACATCACAAGAAAGACCCCTTCCCACACAGATCACCAGCACCTTACTTTTGTTCCCTGCCAGTCAGCCTTCCTGCAAGTGTAACTGCAGCATTACCTTTTTTAAATATCACACCTGCCTGATAAATTCTTCCTTTTAAATCCATAGCAATAATGGTTTTACCTTAGAGCTCCAGATTAAGAGATACATTTTTGCACATTGCTAATCTTTGCATAACTCATGTTTTAGGAAAGCAGATCTATTAGTAAATACAGATCAAATTGTGAAACTGTATTACAGTATAGGAAATCTTTCTTAATCTAGATAAAAATCCCTCTTCTTAAATCATATAGATCAATCATAAGTATTTTTTTTTCTATTAGTATCAGATAAGCAATCATTATCAAATTAAATCAAGCAATCAAATCTTCCTGATTTTTTAGGAATTCAACAAATATAGCTAATCTGTATATATTCACCTCTCTCCAGCCTTAGACTGCAATTTCTCAGGCCAGGGACTGTCTTTTCCTGAATGTATGGAGAGAGAGAGTGCCCAGCTAAGCATGGGCTCTGGCATAAATAAATAATGACATCATAGTCACCATTATATGACATCATATAATTTTAAATAAAATTATACTCTGATTTAATTGTGAAGCTCCTGTTCCAAAATCCCAGATGAGCAATGATATTCAGAATCCTGCTTTACATTTATCTTATTTTATCAGGAGTTTCCTTCTAACAAAACAACTGGAACTGTACATGTCCTGCTCATCTACCCTTTCCCCATGGACTCACCAATGCTCAAGACAATCCCTCTTGCTCAAATGGTATGGGACAGACTCTTTTCTATTTACTGCTTCTAAGTTCTTGTTACTTTCTTTTGCAAACACAGTATCAGCCAGAACTTAAGAGGGAAGAATATCTTTGGAGAGAGAGTTGCCTATTGTGATTACAGGATGCTTAAGGCAACAGATGAAGCAGTGAAATCATTGCATGGAAAGAGAGCACGCCAAGGAGCACCAAGGAGCCTGCCAGCTCAGGGAAGAAGAATAAAAAGAACTTCCCAGACATGAGGAGCCTGGATAGAGTTTGCTATAACTCAGGACGTTACTGAATCAGCTAAAGCAAGGACACACCTGAAATAATAGAAATTGTTGGGATTTTTTAACTTCCTGTTTGCCTTTTTCAAAAGTTCTAAGTTTTCTCAATTTAAAAACGTAGTTTTCTAGTTTTTATTCAAATAAAGTTTGCCTTGTTTGAAATTAAAAAAAAAAAAAAGAAACCATCAACTTTAGTCTAACTTGAGTTAGAATAC